GAGAGAGAGAGAGAGAGAGAGAGAGACTAAGCGAGAAAAAGCGAGAAAGAGCGAGAGAGAGTGTGTGAGAAAGAGAGAGGGGGAAAGAGACAGAGAGAGAGAGAGAGAGACAGAGAGAGAGAGAGGGAGAGAGAGAGAGAAGGAGAGAGAGAGAAAGAGAAAAGAGGAGAACATGGACGAATAGAAGACGGACACACACACTGTAGCTGTTCTAGCTGGACGAAAGAACAAGCAGAAAATGACCGCAGTATCAGTACAGTTTGTAACTCCCGTTTCACGCTGTGGTCATTTCGAGCCGTGGACAGTGTGTTAGGACTGCGGTAAGCCTTTACATCCCAACGACTACTGGCTGTCTTTCCGGTCACTATTTCTCCTGTCACTTGCGCATTCACACCTAAGCCTTCCCCATTAGCACTTGGACTAAGAACACGACGGGAGAGAAAGAGAGAAGGAGAGAGAGAGAGAGAGAGAGAGAGAGAGAGAGAGAGAGAGATCGAATGGGGTGGGGGCAATGATAAGCAAAAATAGCGATGGAAAGACAAAAACTAAATAAAGATTTCATCTTTGTTTTTTATTTTCTCAATACTTTGAACGATATTCAATGTAGTTTGAAGTATCAAAATATTTAACACTAGCCTGTGTACCCGTTCTATGAACGGGGAAATAATGTTATTATAACTATCAAAACTATTTGCACAAACATTACAACAGTTGCTGATACAGTAGATATAAAAAAAACATAATGTAATCTATAGCTATTAACAAAATTTTCGTTTCCCTTGATAAAAGTAAGGTCGTCAAAGAATGTAACATGAATATACGTTACCCTGTTTGTGCTGTGAATTTCGGCCTTGTCAGGTTCCGGAAATCCGGTTAATGATTACTTATTTTGTTGAACCTTGTTTTATTTATGATGCGCTATCAAAGTGGAAGCCTAAAATAATATCTGATATTTGGTAGGCGGGTCCGTGGTCCGGTGGTTGGGCTGTGTGGTTCGAATCCAGTTCGAGGGCCGACGGTGTATCCTATGGAACCCCGTTTTACATGAAGTTTCCTCTCTCCACCCAGATAGGAATGGATTCTCGACTGTAGGCAACCACACACGCACACACACACACACACACACACACACACACACACATACATACACAAACACACTAATACACACACTTAAACGCACACGTGCGTACACAAACACACGCGCACACACACACACACACACACACACACACACACACACACACACACACACACATATAATGTACATGCTAACATACACAATTGGATTATCTCGTGTCGTATTTTAAGTTTTACAGTCTCTTGTTACTATTCAGCACAGCTCTACAAAGTCTGCCGGGCTCCTTTTTGGTCAGTGACCAACATTTCCGCAAAGCCTGAGGGCCTGGGAAAGGCGGGGGCTTCTTCATCAGCCTCACCACACCCACTTCTCCCGGCATCATCTCGCTCTGTTCACTTCTGTTGAGCAAAGTTCCGCTGCCGTTTTCAATTCCCCGCCTTGTTTCTACACCTAAGTCTACGTGTAGATCGTTCTCGAAGCTACCGTCTCTTACCTTCCCGATGAGATCTGATCGATTCACGTCTTTGTCCGGTAAAGCGTCTCCGCCGCTCAAATATTTATCTCTAAATCTACCGCCAGTCTCGTCGTTGATCTCGTTCTCGAAGCAAAGCGGCATCGCAGCACAAGCGTTGTTTGAGTCGTGTCGTTGGGGTCTAAAATTGTCGCTGCTGCTGTCGTTGCTGCTGATACTACCGATACCTTTGTTTTCCCATTCACAACAGCCTCCCTCACGGCAACCGTCACCGATGTGATTATCTGGAGCCCATCTCAGCAGCTCACATCTTTCCCACCTTTTCGCACCCTCAAAACTTAAATCAACATTTTCACGCACGTTCACCTCCTGTGCCTTCTCAGTGCAGCACGCAGGGTTATCTTGTCCAGCGTGGTAAGCTAGATTCGCTTGTCTCCCCCCGTCAACTCTGTCTCCTGTTTTCTCATCATCTTCAAACTCTGCACTGCACAGAGAGCTATGAGAGCCAGAATTCTGATCCAAACACGTCATTTCATCAGTGTCGACGCAAACCTCGTCTCTTGGAGTCCATGCGTTTTTCCAGAAGTTAAAACTGTCCGATGACACGAAAGACTCGTTCGAAATCGAACATTGCTCAATCTGATCTGATCCGTTCGATATTGCCAAAAGTGGACACGTCTTGCACTCAGCTGAATTCGACTTTTCAGGGTCGCAATCCGATCTTTTCGACTTTTGACAAGCTCCGTAATTTTCATCATCCTCGGATACGTTTTTATATTTCATTGTGACGCTAATATCTTTGAACCCAGCAAGCTGGTCGCGTGGAGTCTTATTGTGGACAATATTGTTGATGACATCAGCAGTTTTCGTTTGGCTCGGCATGTCTTCGTCTTTGCCTCGCTCCGCAGTCTCTCGTTGCGGGGGAGTAGTAGCAGCACCGGGCACCTCCGGTGACGTGGAGTGGCTCGTGGTGTCAGTTTCCATCATGTAGAAGTCGGCGGGGTCCGCGCTGCTTTTGCTCACTCGCTTTGGCTAGGTGGCGTTGTGTGACGTCAGTCAGTCAGTCATCAGCCGAGTCATTGGGTGTGGTGACGGCGAGGGGGGGGGAGTGAGGAATTGGGGGAAGAGTATGGAGGGGGCGGATAAAGGATAGGGTGGGGATGGGGGCAGGGGGTTGCAGAAAAAAAGAGGAGTGTTTACATGTGGAATTGAGTGTGGGGGGGGGGGGGTGTTGTGAAAACAGACGAGTGTTTCAGGGGAGATGAATAGATGGGAGGGGGAGTGTTGTTGAAAAGGACAGGTGTTTTGGACCAGGGGAGAGGGGCGGATAGGGACAGGGGCGGATGGGAACAGTGTGTTGTGGAATAAGACGGGTAGTTTTGTTTGTTTTTTGGGGGTTGTTGTTTTATGGGTTGGGGGGGAGTTGAGGAAGGGGTGAGGCAGGTGGAGTAAGATATTTAATTAATTTCATTATTTAGTTTTCAGCTTTTCAATCTTTCGTTCCTTATACTAACATTAATTCTTTCCTTTCCTTACTTTCTGCTATCATTTATACAGTGTTTGTTGATCTTTTAAAAAATAACTGTAAGGTCTATTATTTTGTCGGCAAGGGGAACAAAGTTGAATAAACGTTGATAAACTGAGACAAAGGTTGGCCGTGGGGAACTCAAATCAGCGCTGGTAACGTCTGACTACGTGAACTGTTGCTGAAAATGTATGGAACTCAAGGACATAGCCTCTTTTTTCCTAAGTAAGGGTAAAAAGGGATGAAGCCAGCCACCTAAAGGGATTTAGATTACGAAGATAAGGGAGTAAAACATCAACATGTACGTGTGGAGATGGGATGGACTTTCAATCAAACATACGTCTTTAACTGGACCCAGAACGTGGAATATTGCTTTTATTCTGTCATGTTTAGGAAAGCTCTAATAATGCCGGAGACAAGATTCCCCTATCATTCATGGCATTGGAGATCAACTGGAAAAAGAAAAAGAGGTAGACCAAAGGAAACTTTAGGGGCATAATTAGGGATAAGGCAATCACCCAGGGCCTGGATGTGCCCAGATAGGAGAAGGTGACCAGGGACAGGCGAGCGTGGCGCCGACTGCTCTCCGCCTTATGTACCTTACTATATATATTAATATATATATTATTATATTATTATACATTGAGAGAGGGAGAGAGAGAGAGAGAGAGAGAGAGAGAGAGAGAGAGAGAGAGAGAGAGAGAGAGGGAGAGACAGAGACAGAGACAGAGAGAGACAGAGGAAGTAGGTCAGTCATGCAAGCTTCTTTGCACGTTCTTTAGCCACTGACAGGGGGTTAAAATAAATAATTGTTGAAAAAAATGTAAGTGTGTTTACGCCCCATCGACACAATTTAGAGTATTTAGAAGGCGGGCTTCCGACCCTGTTTGGCAGGGCCAACACATGCTTAGATGGACACAGCACCGTAGCAGAAAGACCGAGAAGCATGAGAAAAATTTCTTCCCATTCTGGAATCGAACTTGGGACGCCTGTGTGCGACAAGAGAAGCGCCTGACCGCTACACCACAAACGCCGGTAAAGATAATGTTTTTAATGTGCTTTTACTGTATTTTGGGGGGAAATTTGGAAGACATGAAATAAAAGCAAGAGGCTAGCCCAGGATAAGGAAATGTGGGAAGGGTTTGTCCGTGGCCTATAGCCTGACCCAGGATGGAAAAGTGACGATGATGATGTTGACTGTACTTTCGTAGATTCTGGTGTCAAACAGAAGCCGCAACATTTCGCTATCTCCAAATTACAAAGTTCTGTCTGCTCAGTATCTAGTTTTGAGAAATTTAACGTAAAATTATTGCGAGTTATTCAATATGTCAAGCTTTTTCGAATGCAATTCTTTGAATAATATCTTGGTAGCGACTCCGAATATTCTTGCAATGTTGATAGAGCAGCTAGAGCATATTGTATTGCTTTCTGACCTCATGGTCTCAGCCACTCAAACAAGGCCAAATGTAATTTCAGATAGTATTTTGTAATTCTAAATCAGCGATTAGGTGCTTTTTTATTTAAAATTTAATTTAGAGAAAGTCTTGCTTACCAGAGGGAAACTTTTCCCGTCCGTCCGTTTGACGTGGACCTTGGCTTCCCTGGGTTGGATGCGATTGACGTAGCGGGAACCGTCAGCCAACCAGGCGTGGTTGAGTACTTGCCACACGTTAGGTCGTGAGTTGGGTCGCACGTGCAGGATGTTGTCAAGGAGAAGAGTGACCTCTGGGAAGTGAGAAGGAGAGATGGGTTCGGGTGTGTGTGTGTAGGTGGGTGGAAGGGGGGAGGGTTGAGAGGGGTTTTGCACGAGTGTGTTAGTTTGTTTGTGTGTGTTTGTGTCTGTGTTTGAGGGAAAGGGTGTGTGTGTGTGTGTGTGTCTCTCTCTCTCTTTCTCTCTTTCTCTCTCTCTCTCTCTCTCTCTCTCTCTCTCTCTCTCTCTCAATGTGTGTGTGTGTGTGTGTGTGTGTGTGTGTGTCTGTGTGTGTGTGTGTGTGTGTGTGAGAGAGAGAGAGAGAGAGAGAGAGAGAGAGAGAGAGAGAGAGAGAGAGAGAAAGAAAAAGGCAAATCTTTAAACGAATTCTTAACCCAATTCACTCCGTCCTATCGAAGATGGGCATTACATTCGCAAGTCCCAACTTTCAAATCCCTTTAGAGTGCTGCAAAGGGCTGTACAGTTTCGCCTTTTTATCAAAAGTACTGGCACAATCCTTTTGTTTATATTTGAAAAAATAATTCTGTCAGTCGCATTTCACATGTCTTTCCCAAATACGGAGAGGGATATGGTATTCTAGCAGAAAGATAGAAACACATTTAAAATTCATTAATTAAGACGGCCACCTATTCTCAAGAAAAACAACCAAGCAAACAACAATGGCCGTCTTAGACAGGTCAGCGCCTTGTACTATGTCATTAGCAGGCTAAAAAACTTAAAGTGTGCTTGAGGGGGGGGGTAATTTGATATGCCCGTTTTGTACAGGCGAGTGTCTTATACAGGTGACCAACGAGCTGGTCTGACTGCACTTGGTAATACAGACGTGATAATACAGAATCGAACTCCGATCAATAGCATGAAAAACCGTACCACAATACCCCCCAGCATCAATGTGGAAACTTTAAAGATACTTTGTTGTCACCAGGACATGCCTATCTACGAGGATTCTCGTGGTATAGAGGTGCTTTGTTCGCCTCTCATTCAATAGGTCCCGGGTCCGAAACCTGACAGCTACAGAGAATTTTCTTCTCAGAAATAGTCTCCTTTCACCTCTTTTCCTGCTCTCCAACCATGTTCTGTCGCCTGCTTTCGTCTCCTCTTTTTGACACCCCCTCCTCCCACCTTTGCCTCCCCCTCCTCTGGGCTCCTCATTCTCTTTCCAGCCTTTCTACTGCTATTCCTTGGCCTGTTCTTACCGTTGTCTTTCAGCCACATCCATATCTTAGAGTTTGGACGATCTAGCACCTAGCCTTGTCGGAAAAGATAGTAAAATTTCGGAAGTCCCGCGCGGAATTTGCGCACGTTAAAGATCTCTTGGTGGTGCTAAAATCGATAAGAGTAGGCTTCGGCCGCTACCCGGGCAAAACTAAAAATGAATTCCTACCAAACTGAAAATTCTTAATGTGTCCCGAGCGCCCATATAACCTGATGCAGTTGTGAGCGCCGTAAAACGCTTACAAAATACAAGCGAAAACAAAAACAACAATAAGCTGTCACTGTCAACTTACGGTATCCTAAACTGGCAAGGTTGTACTTGGAGACGTTCTTCGCGGAGAAGTTTAACCGGATAACTGCCGTGACTTCCGGTGGCACGTGCCCAAGCAACATGTTCAACAGCGTCACGCCCCTGCAGATCCAACATGGTGCATTTTAGAATAGTAAAGGGGAAGCCCTCTGTGACATATTCAAAGAAACTCGTTTTGGGCTAGACAGAAAGATGTTTTAGAATAAGATATCAGTATATGCACTATAAGCCACGCTGTTATGTTTAATAATCTTTAAAAAAAAAATATAAAAAAAGATTTCTGGAATATTATGAGAATGAAATCACCCTAACAGACATGGCAATGGAGAGCAATTGGCAGCAGGAAGAAGAGGTAGACTAACTGTCAGTTATAGGAGTCCGATCAGAGATAATGTAAAAACCCAGGGTCTAGATGTGTTAAAGAGAGAGAGAGAGAGAGAGAGAGAGAGAGAGAGAGAGAGACAGACAGACAGACAGACAGACAGACAGACAGACAGACAGACAGACAGACAGAGACAGAGACAGATACAGAGACAGAGACAGAGACAGAGACAGAGAGAGAGAGAGAAAGAAAGCAGAAGAAATGATAGGTAGCCATTCGTTGCCGAAGGTCACGATGAAATACTACAGCTTATCTGTGGACACGTATGTGGCTTTGCAATCCGATCTTGGATGTACAATGTCTGTTGCTATGGGGACACTGGAATGTCGTGGTTTGGGTGGTTGTATTATGTCTCCTCTCTCTTTTGATAGTCAGATTCTCCCTGTAGTTGATATTGCTGTTTCTGCTGCCAAGACGGACGGCCCTGCGCCAGGCGTTCCTTTCGGTGGCAATTCTTTGGAGGTCTTTGGAGGTAACCAGTGCAAAGTGGAGGTTTACCTTTATCGTGTCTTTGAACCGCTTTTTGGCCTCCCCAGATTTCTTTTGTCACTTGCGAGTTCGCCGAACAGCAGTAGTTTGGGCATTCGCTGGTCGTCCATTCGAATGACATGGCCAGCCCATCTCAGCTGGGCTTTGACAAGCATGCTTTCTATGCTTTGTGAGCTTGGTCGATCGAGGACCTCAAAATTGGTGATGCAGTCTCGCTACCTAATGCCAAGTATTCTGCGAAGAGCCCTTTGATGGAACTGCTCTCATTTGTTGATGTGTTTTCTGTAGAGTGTCCAGGTTTCCTAACCGTAGAGGAGGGAGGAGAACACAACAGCATTGAACACATGCTAGGGTAGGCAAACCCTTAAGAAAAATCACCGAGGGTCTAAGACCCCTCACGAAGTCTAGCCTGCCTGTCGAAGCAGTTGTCCGTGGTATGGCCGCTTTTGCATACTAACAGCTACGGGGAGCCACAAGTGAGAGTTGCGTGCCCGGTGGGAACCAAAGAGTGAGAGCCACCCGGATGTGCGACTGCTCCCACTACACGCCATAGGAGGAAGAAATACCTTTTATATAAATTATGTCTTCTATTTCTGAATATAACTCCGCGTTATACGTCTTTAAACATTTTTATTATTATGGTTGGGGGGGGGGGGGGTGGTGCATTTTATCATGAAAACTTGTATGCTCGGGGTTTTTTCTGAGCACATGTGCATGTGGTGTAGAGGGTTGGCACTTCGTCGTCTCATGCAGGAGACGCGAGTTCGATTCTCGGGTGGGGAGTATTTTTATTTTTATCGAGTATTTCGGTCTTTCTTCTCGGATGTTGCATCCCTCTCAGTCTCAGCCCGGGTGGGCCGGTGACAGGCAGGAACAAAGCCCGCCTCCTAAATGATCTAAACTGTGTCGGGTGGAGGCGCAAAAGAGTAGTCCTCACTCACTGACGACACAAGAAGTCCGACTCTACGTGTGTAGTTGGCGGATAAATTGGTGTTGATTGCTCCTTCCTTCCTATAAAGAGATAATATCTGTCGTCGTTTATTTCCTCCCTTCTTTTCTGTATACGTTTTACTCTAGCTACACCTCTTCAGTGTCAGTTTGGTTAAAGTTTTACGGCACTTGCAACTGTTGCATAACGCACTTCTCTGGCACTTATATAACCAAATTTTATGTTGAAATAGTGAAGGTATCGTAAAAATGTTCTAACAAATTAGAAAAAAAACCCAAATAAATAAATAAACAGCTAAATAGATAGATAGATAAATAAATGAATAAATATAAATTAAATTTTTTTATAAACGTATAAAAAAACAAATAAACAAGCATATAGATAAATGAATAAATAGATAGATAAATAAGCAAACAAGTAACCAAAAAAAAACAACCCACAACACATGAACAAACAACGTACAGACACCAGATGTCCGAGGTTCGCTTCCAGACCTCCCGTTTGTTGAGCAGCTCCGGGGGCGTGTAGGCGTCAAAGTGCTCTCCCTTCATGTTGCAGTGGTTGCGGATACAACGAGAGGCGGCCATCATGCGCTGACAACAGGGACCATACGCTGCACGGTTTGATCAAGGCACAGGGGGTGAGGATCGGGGAGGGGGGGGCCGGGAATGGTTACTTTTACATATTGAGTGAGGACGTCCATTCTCGTGAAATGCTGAAATGGTATAAGTTTATCGTCCCTATCAACACTATTAGGTTATTTTAAGAGGCGGGACCTCCGAGTTTCACATCCATCTCCGAAAGGACTGAGCCAAGTGGGAAATTCATCTGAAGTGCCTTTCCCAAGGACACAATGTCGTAGTGAGCTGAGGCTCGAACCCCCGAACCAGCAATCTCATGATTACGAGTCCGGTTACCTGCCTAACCACAAGGCCACGCGCATTTTGGTTACTCGTTAACGCTTGAAGCTGAAGAGAGCTGTTTGGGGGTATTTAGGAAAAAGAAAAGGTTTGACATAAAAGTTTGTGCTTACTGATAACAAAACCGGCAGACAGATCAACACGCATTTGCAAAGTTCACCTACCATAGAAAACTGCATCTCTTAAAGTTGAAGAGAAATGTTAGGGGGTATTTAGACAAAAATTATAATAATATAGCAGTCCTCTGCTTATTGATAACAATTAATAGCTCCAGTGGCTAAGTGAGTAGTGAGTTTAGACTCGCGAGTAAAGTCAAGCAAGTGTCTATGACACTGGGATCAGGTGGGTGGTCACTGAGGTGTGTCCTTGAGCAAGACATGACAACTCTAGCTTTAAGTATTTAGGTATGTACAATGTATGTATTTATAATTATGTATTTATGTATGTATGTACATGTGTTTGTCATTTTAAACAAAATTGCCCTTCTGGGATAAATTTTAAAAAAATATATTAATATAAAGGGGGCAGACAGTTGCAAAAATGAACAACATGTACCATAGAAAACGGCATCTCTTAAAGTTGAAAAGACCTGTCTTGGAGATTTAGAAACAAAGAAAACGTACATGTATAACATAGCAGATTGCGTTACTTGATAACAACAGCGGCAGAGACTGGTAAAGTTGGCCTACCATTAAAAATAACTAATAACTACATCTCTTGTCTCTTTTCAACGCTTAACGTCAACAGACGATAAAAAAGTAAATTTTACTAAAAGTTAAGTAAGATATAGCAGAAAAATACATTCTTGCAATACCTGTAAGTTTGACCTGAAGGTCGTCTGTCACAAGGACGTTGGTGCAGTTGATATCTCTGGGAAAAAATTCAGACCGTCATTCATAATAGACAATATTATTTCAGTCATCATCTACTTACTTTACTTTTATATTGTCTGTAACCCTTGAGCAATGAGGGAAGAGGCAGTTTTTTATGGTAGAAAAACTGCAGCTCTTTTCATTGAGATTATAGTTTCTCAAGC